GTAGCAGTCCTCCATGAACAGGCTGAGGATGCTCCTGCGGCTGAAGCCGAACCTCTCCCTGACCATGCTCTCCAGGTCCGCCACCACGCGGCACGCGGCCATGTCCACGAGCAGCCAGCACATGCGGCAGCCCACGGCGGCGGGCGGCGGGTAGTCGAAGAGCAGCCTCACGCGGATGAAGCTGTTGCCGGGCGGCGCCATGACGGGACGGGGCACCGCTTCCGCTTCCGCTTCCGCCGGGGCTGGGGGGGCGCTCTGCCCCCTGCCGGCCCGGAGAGCCGGCGGCTCTGCGCCGCCATTGGTCCGCCCCGCCAGGGCCCGCCCCTCAGTGCGGAAGTGACGGCGGTCAGCTGACCTGCGCCGGTCACGTGACCTGCCGCTGCTCGGGTCCTGGCGGCAGAGCGGAGCGGGTTCCGGCAGCCATGGGTCTCCTTCAAGCCGCGTTCAGCCTGGGCGTCCTCCTAGCGCTGTCCCCCAGAGAGGGTAGGCTCCACGGCTCTGTGTGTGTGTGTATGTGGGGGGGGTCTGTGTGTGTGTATGTGTATGTGAGGGGGGGTGGAGACGGAGCGGCAGCCTCTCTGTTTCCGGCTGACTCTAACCCCGGGCTCTGTAACCCCGTCTCCGGCCCACAGGGCTCTGCGCCCCGCCGGCAGCCGCGCGGGAGGCGTGGGGCTACGTGCACGCGAGGCCGGGCGCGCACATGTTCTGGTGGCTGTACTACGCAGACAGCCCGGCGGGCCGGCCGGAGCAGCTGCCGCTGGTCATGTGGCTGCAGGTGAGCTCTGGGGGGGGGGGGGCTGGAGAGAGCAGGACCATGAGAGCGTCCTGTGTGATGAGAGGGGCAGTGGCTTTGAAACAGGAAGTGCTGTCCAGCTGTCGATCACGTGTCAGTGGCATGAGCAGATTATGAGATGGCAACACTGAATCACCAGCATGGAAAAGGAACAACGACTTCCATGTTTACTCTGAGAGGCCCGGAATGGATTGAATTCCTGTTTTTGTGGATTTTATGAGCTGGAAGCCCAAATGATGTCTCAATAGATACTAAATAGAAATGTAGAATCTATGAAAGCTGAACTTCCTGAATGGAATTCTGGAAAAAAAAAAACATGTCCATGATATTTCCCTTCTAGGGGCGGTGTACCCCTGGTCTGGTAGTGAGATCAGCAGCTTTTACAGCTGCTTCTTCTTAAAGAGCGGGACAAACGTTAGATTTCTGACTATTGACCTTGCATGTCATTTTAGAAACTGTGAAACAGAGGGGAGAGAGGCTCAGACGTGCTGCTGTTGTTCTGACCAGGATGACCTTTGCTTTTAGGGGGGGCCTGGAGGGTCAGGAAGCGGCTTTGGCAACTTTGAGGAGATCGGACCTTTGAACAGAGATCTGCAGCCCAGAAAGACGAACTGGGTAAGATGGATCCGTTTATGATAAGAATGTCAGCACTTTTTTCATGTTGATTCTCAAATCCTACTTCTTTATTTGGGGGGAGGAACTAGGAACAGAATGAGGAAGTTTTACACAGCCAGTTACAGCTATTGCTTAATCTAAGTTCAGTACAGTTTCAGTTTCTGCACAAGTTAATAATTCATTATCTTTAATCATTATTAATTCATTCTTTCTCTTGACTATTTTTAATGTAAATAGTTATTTATTTAAACAAGTTTATTTTACTATTCAATTATTTATCGTGTATATAAATAAATATATAATATATTATTATTAGTAGTAATAGTTATTAAAAAGGGAGGGAGTCAGGGCACAAGAAATCAGAACAGAATGCAGTCAAATGTGGATCGTGTCTCATTTGGAAAAGGCTTTAGTGTTCAGCTGCACCATACAGTTCCTCTGCTCCATAATCCATCCCAGGATGTTCCCTCAGGGCCAGCGCTGAATGGAGTTAGCTGAAAAAAGACACAAAAGAAATGCTCTCATTAATCTGCCCAGGTTGTGCCATTGGACCCCCCCCAGCAGCTCCTCAAACAAAGCAAAACTCCAAAAAGTAGCCCCCCAATTAAAAAATGACATGTCTCCTCTGTGGCACAGCCTGGCCCAAACCCGCACTGCCTATCCCAAAAGCCTGCTTTCCAACAGATAGCTTGTTTCTGCTGATGTCAGAGGTGGCTCTGGACCTGTTCCTCTCAGTAACGGCTCCATATGGAGCGGGTGGGGGGGTTCTCGGCCTGTGACGGGCAGGTTGTGCGTTTGATGGTTTCTGTGTGTGTGATCTCCGGGGCAGGTTCAGGCAGCCAGCGTGCTGTTTGTGGACAATCCGGTGGGCACGGGCTTCAGCTACTCCGAGAGGCCGGATGGCTTTGCAACCGATGTGGCCACTGTGGCTGCAGACATGCTGGTGGTGCTGAGGGACTTCTTCACAGAGAGGGCCGAGTTCCAGGTCTGTCCACGCACCCCCAGCATCCGCTATTCTCCTCACCCTCTTACACTCCTCACCCTTTTATAACGTATGCATCACATGTCATTGATGGATTTCTAAACCT